AAATTCAGTTTCTCCCCCCCCCCCAAAAAAAAACAATATCCCTCAAAAAAGGGGAAAGTACACAGGGGAGAATTGGGAAACTTTCAGATATAATATCAATTGTCTATTTTGATGTTAAAAGCATATAACTATACTTTTAGTACTATTTTTTTCCTTCTTTTTTTTACGCATGCTTGTTTTTTTTGGGGGGGGAGTTTACTTTACACGAGACTAAAACTATTTGTTTTTAATTTTAAAGGTGCAACTTTAACTAAGATTCAAATATTTTTGTTTCCCAAACAGTACTTAAAATTGATTTTTCATTTTTTTACCTAAGAAGCTTCCTTTAATATTTAACAATGAACATTAGCCATTTTTGAGATAAAAATTAATTAATGGAATGTGGAAAAATAAATCACTGAACTGGTGAACCAAAATATTTGAATAAAAGACTGAGTGAATAGGCGTATTTATGCACGAGCGTATCAGGAAGTAAATAAGTTTGAAAAAATAAATAAAAAGTTCATAAAACTGTAACTTGGTGGTGCAGAAGTCGACGACCACATTTTTATTCCAAACATGGTGCTGATTATTGACTTTGCTACAACGATTTCATATCTCAAATTGAAATCGTTCTGCTCAATCATCCCACTCTAGCAATTTTCAACAAAAATGAAACAAAAATTATTTAATTTGAAACCAAAATAATCCAACTAAGGAGTTATTTTAATATACATATGTACAACTGGCAAAGCCCTTTTTCACTTCCCATTAAAATAGAAAGCTAAAATTTGGACCATATATTTTTTATAAAAATAAATAGGAAAACTAAAAAAAAAGTTCTAATTCGATATTTTGTAATTATCGGAGTAATTATCCAAGTTGACAATAATGCTAAGTAACAAGTTTTTAACAAGATAAAAATCTCAAATTTAAACTGTGTGTTCCTTATCAGATGCGAAGAAAAACTAAAAAAGAGCTTCGTTTCGATATTTTGTGATTATAAAGAAAATTACGGATTAATTAGTCTAATTAATTTACAATATTTCTAAATAATACTTTTTTACCGAGATAAAGTCTCAAGTTGGGATCAAGTGCTTCTTATGAGATAAATAGAAAATCTAAAATTTTTATTTCAATAGTTGTAATTATTGGGGTAATTAATATAATTGACAGAGTAAAACTAAATAACATGTCGCTATTATGATTAAAAGTATCCAATTTCGGAAGATATGTTCGATATTAGCTTAAAAGGAAAAACTAAAACAGTTT